GGACAGAGAAGAAGCAGAGGGAGACGGAAAAGGTGAGGGTGGGAGAGGAGGAGGGAGAAGAAAAGAAAAAGGAAGGAGAAGGGGAGGGAGGCAGGAATAAAGGAAGGAAGGAAGAATATAGGTCACGCTATAGGTTACTGCCACAAACACTTTCTATTCACCTCCTAGGGAGTCCCACTACAGGAGGAGAGGGACATGGAGCCGCAATGGAGCAAGCTGGTTGCTCTGGCTTTGACAGATGAGAACGTTTCCTCATAGCAGTGCTTGGAAGTTAAGAAGATAAAGGGAAAGGACGATGCAGCTCAGAGTCCTGCATTGCCAGACACATCGTTCTTACAATTTATATGACAGAAGAAACTCATCATCCACTTGTCCCATTATAACCTCCCAGGAATTTAAAATGGATTGACTGTCAATTTAATGCAAAATCACTTGGGTATAGGCTGTGAATTCAAGGCATCAATTACTATTGATCTATTTGACACTGTTCATTCATATACATATGTCATTCATATACATAAAGTTGTTTTTTTTTCCCCCCCCCAAGCGGTTTGCTTCTTAGGAGAGAAAGATACATAGGAAAAAGATTAAAGTCAAGCAGCAGGGGGAAATAAGTTGGTGTGAAAGTTCAACTGAATCTAACTGTAATGCCTTTTTATTCTTGCAGATTCAAATTACTTGCCTGGATTCCCAGACAGGTCATTTAGAAACCTTCTAATGTTTTTAGAAGACTGAGATGACTAGAAATCTTCAAAGGCGTTTCTTTTACTTTAAAACACCCAAAATTAAAAACTTGATCAAGCCAAAATGAATCCTAACTCAATAAAAAACTTTCTAGTCCTGACTCCAGGGCAGAATGACACCCCAGGAACAGCTGTGACATTACCTGGTAAGACACTGCGGTTATCCACACACATGGAGAAGATGCGCTCGTACACAAGCTTTCCTGGGAGGAAAAGGACAGATGGTGTTAGTTTCGCACTCTTTAGGGAGCAAACACTAAATAAATGTTTGTTAATTAGGGGCCCAAAAGTATCATCGCCCAGACAGGCTTTAACTTGTGATGGTATGCTGCCACCTGGTGGGACAGATTTTAACCCATGTTTCTTTTGTTTTTGTTTTTGTTTTTAGTTTTTCAAGTAGATTTTTACTTTCTTTGAAAGGCAGGAAAGTGATGGTTTTGCCCTTTGGTGTCTAAACGAGCCTCAGGTATCTCCAGTACCCAGACTATGGTCCGCATTCTATGCTAGGCCAGAGGCGAAAATGGGCAGCCCGTGGGCCGAGTCCAGCCTGTGACCAGTTGTGTGTGGCCACACCACAACAGCCCACAAAGTGCTGTAACATTTTTTGAATTGGTTACCAACAAGAAAAAACTGGGAGAGGCCAGGCATAGTGACTCACACCTGTGATCCTACCACTTTGGGAGGCTGCTGAGGCAGGACTGCTTGAGCCCACGAATTCAAGATTAGCCTGGGCAACATTGTAAGACCAGGTATGTACAAAAAAATTTAAAAATTAGCTAGGCATGGCAGTGTACACCTGTAGTTTCAGCTACTTGGGAGGCTGAGGTGGGAGGATTGCTTGAGCCCAGGAGTTCAAGGCTGCAGTGAGCCATGATCACTCACTGCCCTCCAACCTGGGTGAGAGAGCAAGACCCTGTCTCAAAAAATAAAACACTCTGTAATCTGGGAGAACCCACGTGCGTATTTCCTCCTTCTTCACATAAAATATGCCAAAACTGTGGCCATATCTCTATAGGGTAACACACAGCTAGAGCAAATTAGTAGCTGTCCCACCCAGTTTGCCACAGTCTCCACCACCCCCCACCGTATCTCATCATCAGTGTGCTTTTACTCTTTTATGTGACATACCTGGTGCCCAGGACCATCAGAATTTGAAATTCAACTAGAATGCAAGCTCCACACGGGCAGAGATTTGTGCTTGTTTTGTTCACTGACATATTCTCAGTACTGATCAGTTTCTGGCACACAGTGGGTACTCAGTATTTGTTGGATGGGTGAACATACTTGAGGTTTTGCAGGTCACAGGTCACTTTCTTGATGACTCATCTTGGCCACTGTAGCACAGACGTGGCCACAGACAATGCGTAAACAAATGGATGTGGCTGTGTTCCAGTAAAACTTTTTACACAAACAGGTGCACAGCCTAAACTCCTAAACTGGTAGCACAAGTTTTATTTATTCTGTGCATGTGTTTTGGAAAATGTTATCGATATGCCAGGTAAAAACTATAGTTCTTACTCATTTTCTAAGCTCTCCTAAGTCACCTTCAATGTGAAAATATTTCCTTTTTTTTTTTCTCATAACCCCATTATTCAGGGCAGTAAAGAACAACACTCCTTGTCCATACATGGAAACGGAGACAGGAAAATACAAGGATCATTTCAGGTCAAAGAACGTGGGATCAAATGATATCAAGAGAAGACACAATGTTAGGATTAAGTGAAGGAAGCCAGCCAAGTGAAGACGTACCACCCAGGTGCTTCTCCTAGTGTGGACCACCTACCTACATACCTACCTACGCACATTCATTCATTCATTCATTCATTTAGACAGGCTCTCACTCTGTCACCAGGCTGCAATGCAGTGGCATGATCAGAGCTCACTACAGCCTCCACCTCCTGGGCTCAAGCAATCCCCCCATCTCAGGCTCCTATGTAGCTGGGACTAGAGGCATACGCTAGCATGCTTGGCTAATTATTTTTTTGTAGAGATGGGATTTCCCTATGTTTCCAGCCCAGGCTTGTTTTGAACTCCTGGGCTCAAGTGATCTGCCTGCTTTAGCCTCCCAAAGTGCTGGGATTATAAGTGTGGGCCACCATGCCTGGCCTTGGACCAGCTACATTAAAATTGCCTGAAGGCACTTGCTGAAAATGCAGATTCCCACCTTATAGCTACTGGAAAAGAATACTTTATAGCCAGGCACGGTAGTGCACACCTGTAGTCCCAGCCACCTGAGAGGCAGAGATAGAAGCTATGATTGTGGGCTGGGTGTGGTGGCTCACGCCTATAATACCAGCACTTTGGGAGGCCAAGGCCGGTGTATCACGAGGTCAAGAGATCAAGACCATCCTGGCCAACATGGGTGAAACTCCGTCTCTATTAAAAATACAAACATTAGCTGGGGGTGGTGGCGTGCACCTGTAGTCCCAGCTGCTCAGGAGGCTGAGGCAGGAGAATCACCCGGGAGGCGGAGGTTGCAGTGAGCCGAGACAGTGCCACTGCACTCCAGCCTGGCTACAGAGCAACAGAGCAAGACTACATTAAAAAAAAAAAAAAAAAAAAAGAAGCAGCAGCTATGATTGTACCAATGCATCCCAGCCAGCCTGGGGCAATAGAGTAAAACACTGCCTCCTAAAAAGAAAAAGAATAGTTTGGAGGATGAAGACGAGGAATATGGATTTTGAATAACCTGCGAGGAATTCCTTACACACATTAAAGTGTGAGAACCAGTAATTTAGGCAGACACCAGTGGGTCTTTGAGCTAAAACTTGCCTTGCCTCTGGAATCTACAGAAACAGCAACAAGCCTCCCCTTGCAACAAGAAACAGCAACAAGCCTCTTCCCTCTGAGCCAGTGCTTCTCAAACTGGGCTGCGGACTCCAAGCACCTGGGACTCTTGAAAATATGTGGATGTTTGTGTCCATCCTCAGAGGTCCTCATATGAATGGTATGGATGCAGCTGGGACTTTGGGGGTGTTTGTAAAGCTCCCCAGGTGATTTCAATGAGCAGCCAAGTATGAGAAGCACTGCTCCAAACCACTGGCTCCATTTAGAAGCCCCTGGAAGGCCTCAAGAGAAAGCCCCAGTTCTCCAAGCCACCTGCCTTTTTCCTCCTGGCAGAATGCGCTTTCCTTACCAGGGGCTATGGGTTCCCTACAGCAGCCACACCTCATGCAGAGAGAGGCCTCCCCTGTGATAACCCCAGAACGCTGGCATTAGGGATGCATGCAGTGTTACCTCGGACCACCACACAACAAACCACATTGGGCAGCTGCGTAACTGCCCACCTCCCATGGTGCACAGAATGAATCTAGCACAAAACACCTTTATTGCCTACACAAAAGTTGTCATCCCTCTAAAAACTGTTTTTTTAAAAAATTGTATTTTATCTTCATATTCTTTTTTACTTTATTTTTTTTTTAGAGACAGAGTTTTGCTCTGTCGCCAAGGCTGGAGCGCAGAGGTGCAATCACAGCTCACTGCAGCCTCAACTTCCCGGGCTCAGGGGATCCTCCCACCTCAACCTCCCGAGTAGCTGGGACCAAAGGCACGCACCACCATGCCTGGCTAACTTTTAAATTTTTTATAGAGACAAGGTCTCATCATGTTGCTCAGGCTGGTCTCAAACTCCTGGGCTCAAGCAATCCTTCTGCCCTGGCTTCCCAAAGTGCTGGGATTACAGATATGAGTCACCATTTGGGGCCTCACTGTCATATCTTAGGAAGCCTTTAACTACAAAATTATTTTTGACTGAAAAAAGCTACTTGTCTATTGTTAAGCTAGTAGACAACTACTCTGAGAAATAACACCTGATCCTAGATTTATTTCCTATCTTGATTTGCTTTCTTATAAATCAAAGACACTAAAATAGATAAATAGTAACAGTGGTAACAGCTAGCATTTTCTGAGCACCTACTTTGTCTAAGCACTATTCAAAGTTGTTTACTCTAATCCTGACAGCAAGCTCTTACAAGAGGAGAGGCATTACACTTCCTATGAATCCTCTCATTTAATCCTCTCCAGAAACTCTTGGAGGCAGGGTCTATGATAGCCCCATTCTACAGGTGGAGAAACTGAGGCTCAAGTTCACACAACCCTGAAAGGAAAGGAGCAGGAATTGAAGCCAGAAGCTCACCTCTGTGCCCAATGCCTCTAGTGAAATCCCAGCTGAAGCCAGGCACACATCTTCACACTGTACATGCCAGTCTCTGGATGCTGGGGCCCTAGCCTGCATTCCTGGCACAGCAAGATGCTCTGACCCTCTTGTCAACGATGCCAACAACCACGAAACACCTGTCCCTGTACTGTCATGCATCTTCTTTTAGAGCAGAGTAATGCTCATGTGCAGAAAAACGGAGCTCGGGACTCCACATTTCCATCAAGCAAGACAGGATTTCACTCCTTTTTTACAAAGTGAACGCTCATTAGCCCCAAACCTTAACAAAGAGTCTCTGAGCGCCTGTCCATGCAGGCAGCCTGCACAGCCCTGAGGAATATTATTCACAATAAAACAACAGCACCCTGGGAACACCATTCTGAAGTGGAGAGGAAGGACGAAGACCTTCGGAAGTGCTGAAAGCAGCTACTTTGTGTGAATGTTTGGTTTTGAATAGGTGAAACATTCCCATGGGTCAAAATTCAAAAACGGCTGCAGAAGGCACTGAGTGCAGTTTCTCTCCTGGCCCATCCCATCCACCTCACTGCCCTGCACACCCTCTGAGAGAAACCACTTCTATCAGTTTCTTGGGTATCCTTCTAATCTCTCCTCAGAGAAACACAAGTGAATACGAACATGTATTCTGATTTTTACTCTTTTTTTCTTTTTGAGACAGGGTCTCAATTTAGCTAGGGTGAAGTGGTATGATCACAGCTCATTGCAGTCTCAAACTTCTGGGCTCAAGGAATCTGCCTGCCTCAGTCTCCTGAGTAGCTGGGACTACAGGCTCATACCACCACATCCAGCTATTTTTCTGATTTTTTTGTAGTGATGGGGTCTTGCTATGTTGCCCAGGATGATCTTGAACTCCTGGCCTCAAGTGATGCTCCTGCCTCACCCTCCTTCCAAAGTACTAGGATTACAGGACTACAGGTATGAGCCACCATGCCCGGCCCTTTCCTTCTTTTTTCTCCGTTTTTTTTTTTGTTGTTGTTGTTGTTTTTTGAGACAGAGTCTTGCTTTATCATCCCGATTGGAGTGCAGTGG